TTAAACATGCTGGGAGAGCTGGGAATTAGGAATTGTTGGGGATCATCCCATGTGGAGAGCGAAGCTAAAGCGGCCTCTTCCTCCTCCACCAAAGGGGGATGGGAATGGTATCCCGCTATTCCCAAAGCCATGGGAGCAGTTGGATGATGTTTGACTGGAACATCTCCAAACCCACCTCTGTTGGTGATTCCCAGGGAGCCAAGGGAGTTCCTGGATTGGGAGGCTTCAAGGGCCGGATGGGATGGCCCGGGAAAGCCGGAATGGCCGGAGCAGATGGACCTCAAGGACCACAGGGAGAACCAGGGCCACAGGTGAGATGAGCTGGGACCAAACCCCCCCAGATGTGTCCCCACATCCACATCTCCCTCCTCCTCCAAGCTCCCACATCTCCCTCCTCTTCTTCCAAGCTCCCACATCCACATCTCCTTCCTCTTCCACATCCACATCTCCCTCCTCTTCCAAGCTCCCACATCTCCCTCCTCTTCTTCCAAGCTCCCACATCCACATCTCCCTCCTGTATCCACGTCTCCCTCCTCTTCCAAGCTCCCACATCCATATCTCCCTCCTACATCCACATCTCCCTCCTCTTCCAAGCTCCTACATCCACATCTCCCTCCTACATCCACATCTTCCTCCTCTCCCAAACTCCCACATCTCCCTCCTCTTCCAAGCTCCAACATCTCTCTCCCCTTCCAAGCTCCCACATCCACATCTCCCTCCTTTTCCAAGCTCCCACATCCACATCTCCCTCCTACATCCACATTTCCCTCCTCTTCCAAGCTCCCACATCTTCCTCCTCTCCCAAGCTCCCACATCTGCCTCCTCTTCCAAGCTCCCACATCTCCCTCCTCTTCCAAGCTCCCACATCCACATCTTCCTCCTCTTCCACGCTCCCACATCCACATTTCCCTCCTCTTCCAAGCTCCCACATCCACATCTCCCTCCTACATCCACATCTCCCTCCTCTTCCAAGCTCCCACAGCCACATCTCCCTCCTTTTCCAAACTCCTACATCTCCCTCCTCTTCCAAACTCCCACATCCACATCTCCCTCCTTCCAAGCTCCCTCATCCAAATCTCCCTCCTACATCCATATTTCCCTCCTCTTCCAAGCTCCTACATCCACATCTCCCTCCTTCCAAGCTCCTACATCCACATCTCCCTCCTTCCAAGCTCCCTCATCCACATCTCCCTACTTTTCCAAGCTCCCACATCCACATCTCCCTTCTCTTCTAAGCTCCCACATCCCCTCTTCCCGTGGGATTTCACTTCATCCCTCTCTCATATCCCCTCTTCCTGTGGGATTTCACTTCATCCCTGTTTTACATCCCCTCTTCCCATGGGATTCCACTTCATCCCTCTCTTCCTTTCCCCCGGGGAGATTTTTCCTCCTCCTTCCCTCCCTCCTTTCCCTGTTTTCAGACCTCTCCACGACATTTCCAGGGATAATTTCCCATTATCAAGACTTCGAGTGCTCCCCTAATTATCCCTAATTATCCCGGGCTCAGAGTGCTCGTGTTTAACGAGCGGCTCAACATTCAGGACACGCCAGGAACCTTTGGAAAGGGAATAAAAAGCCTTGGAAATGAGGATTTAATGGAGTTTCCGAGCGGGTCAGGAGGCCCCCGGTTGTGTGATAATGAGGAGATGCCAAAACAAGGGAGGGATTAATTCAACACCCACCCCAAAATAGCAGATGTGAAGGAATGAAGGGTTTTTTCAAGGGAGAGAGGGTTGGAAGTTAAAGTGTTTTAGAATTAAAGTTGTTTTAAATTTAAAAGCAAAAAAAAAACCAAACCACAAAGAAAAAAAAACACAAAAATTAAATAAAAAACCCAAAAAAACCCAAAAAAACCCAAAAACAAAACAAAACCAAAAGCAAACAAATAAAAACATCAAAAACAAAACAAACAAAAAAACAAAAAAAACCCCAAAAGCAAACAAATAAAAACATACAAAACAAAACAAAACAAGCCACAAAAAAACCCAAACCAAGAGAAACAAAAAACCAGAAAAAAACAGACCAAACAAATAAAAACAAAAAACCAAACAAACAAAAACCTCCAAAACAAAAGAAGCAAAAAAAAAAACAAAAAGAAACCAATCCAAACAAAAAAAATCAAAACCAACAAAAACCCAAAAACCAAAACAAAAAAAAAAGAAACCAGACCAAAACAAACAAAACCCAAAAAAGTCGAAATCAAAACAAACAAACAAAACCCAAAAAAACCCCAAAACCAGACAAAACCCCCAAAAAACCAAACAAAAAAAAAAACCCAAAACCAAAACAAAAAAAAAAAGAAAAAAAACAAACAAGCAAAGAACCCCCCAAAAAAACCCAAAGCAAAAGAAACAAACAAAAAAACCAAAAAAACCCAAAAAAACCCAAAACCAAGACAAAAAAAAACACATAAAAAAAGACAAACCAAAATAAAAAAAAAAAAACACAAAATAAGACAACAAAAAAAATTAAAAATAAAAATAAATAAAAAAAACACATAGAAAAAGACAAACCAAAAGAAAAACAAAACAAAACAAAATAAGACAACAAAAAAATTTAAAAATAAAAATAAAAATAAATAAAAAAACCACAAAAAACCCACCAAAAAAACCCAAACCAAACAAAAAACCCACCAAAAAAACCCAAACCAAACAAAAAACCCACCAAAAAAACCCCACAAAAAACCCCAAAACCAAAACAAACAAAAAACCCACCAAAAAAACCCAAACCAAACCAAACAAAAAACCCACCAAAAAAACCCACAAAAAACCCCAAACGAAAAAACCCACAAAAAGCCCCCCAAAAACCCCAAACCAAAAGAAACAAAAAAAACCCAAAACAAACATAAAAAACCAAAACAAACAAACAAAAATGAATAAACCCAACCCAAACCAAAGAAACAAAAAAAACACACACAAAAAAAAAACCATAAAAAAACCAAAACCTGGAATTAAAAGAGGAAGTGGGAAGTCCAGCAGAGGGAGTGGGAAGGGATTGTCTCCGTCTGCTGAGGCTCCAGGGGCTGAAATTCGGGAAAAGGGCCTTCTTTTCCCACAGAATCCATCCTTCCTGCCCAGGGAACACCTCCCATCCCATCCCGTCTGTCCAGGGATCCCTTGGGATCCAGAGGGCTCTGAGGATCTTCTCAGGGAATCAGGGAATGCGTTGGGTTGGGAGGTTCCAACCCTGACACCTTCCACCATTCCAAGGGAATCCAACCGGGCCTTGGACACTTCCAGGGATCCAGGGGCAGCCACAGTTTCTCTGGGAATTCGATTCCAGCCCCTCCCCACCCTCCCAGCCAGGAATTCCTTCCCCATATCCCACCTAACCCCACCCTCTGGAAGTTTGAAGCCTCTTCCCCCCTTGGCCTGTCACTCCCAAGCTCTTCTAAATATTCCCTTTCCATCTTTTTTCTTGGCTCCTGGAAGGCCCCAAACCTGGGTTTCCTTTCCAGGCTGAACATTCCATGGGATTGAAGGGGAAAATCCCACCTGGAGCTGTGGGATAAATGGTTGGAAGGTGCTGACTGAGCTCTCCTCTCCCTCTCCAGGGTCCTCCAGGGAA